CCACCGTGAGGGCCTGCCAGGGGAAGCTGCCCGGTGGGGCTCTGGAGGGGCCGAGGCTCTCGGGGTGCAGGGCCAGGGGCGTCACCGGCCGTCCACACACTGAGGGAGGAGCGGAGACACAGCTGAGGAGACTGCAGGCCCCGGGTGGCTCTTACTGACCCAGGCCAGCGAGTGGAGACACAGGGCTGACGTGGGCGGTGCCAACTCGCATGCAACTGGGCACATCCTGCTTCAGGCTGTGGCTTGGGGCCCAAGTGAGCAGAGTGGGGGCTGGCTCTGCGGATCTCCCTGTCCTGCCTCTTGGGCCTCCCACAGCCCTCCTGGGACTGTCTGGGACAACATCCCGTGCCAGGCAGCTTGTCATCGATGCCCTCATTTACAGCATCTCCCACCCCTGCCTCCCTCCGAGCTGCTCCCTTAACCCCAGGGCTTCAGGTCGCCTGGAGCTCTCTGCCCATCTGAGTGGGGCAGGAAGGCACAGTCTACCACAATCCCAGCACGGGAGAGGCTGAGGCCGGAGGACTGCAAGCTCAAGTCCAGCCTGAGCAACTTAGTGAGAGAGTGAGACGCTTTCTCAAATGAAAAATACAAGAAAAGGATTGGGATGTAGCTCAGCGGGAAGGCCCCTGGGTTCAATCCCTAGTACTGCAAAATAAAAACAAAACGAAAGGGGTCTTCAAAAAAGATGGGCTTGCACCCTTACATGGCTGGGGAAATATAAGATGGTGCTGCTGCTATGGAAAGTTTGGTGATTCCACAAAATGTTAAACAGAATTATCATAAGGGCCCAGGGATTTAGCTCATTGGTACTGCACCTGCCTAGCAAGTGCAAGGTCCTGAGTTTGATTCCTGGTTCTAGGAAAGAAAGAAAGAAGGAAAGAAAGAGAGAGAGAGAGAAAGAAAACTATTATATGATTGAGCCATCCCACTCCTAGTTATCTAGGAGAGTCTTGGAAATGTATGTTTATATAAAAACTTATATGTAAATGCTCATTTCAGTATTATTCATAATATGCAGCCAAAAAATAGAAAACAACCAAAACACCCAGTGCTTGATGCACGGACACTCAGGGTGTGGCGTGCACACACACACTAAGAGGTGTGACAGCCTGGTGTGGCGGGGTTGAACCTGCAGACACGTGTGGCTCCGCTGGTGGGAAACGTGTAGACCAGGTAAATCCAGAGACCAGAAGTAGATCAGCCGGACCCGAGGACGGGAGGAAGAGATGGGGGATCTTAGGGGCAGGGAGGTGGATGAGTTCCAGAGTAGTGGAAATGTTTCTACAGCATTGTTAATACCCTAAATTTCTCTGAATTGTGTCCTTTTTTTTTTGGTACCAGGGATTGAACTCAGGACCTTGTGCCTTCGAGGCAGGTGGCGGAACCGCTGAACTAAATCCCTGGCCCCTGAATTGTGCACATTGAAGTAGGTAAAATGGTGAGTTTTATCTGAATAAAAAGTTTTTTAAGGCAGAGGGCTAGGGATGGCTCAGTGGTAGGGAACTTGACTCGTATGTGGGAGGTCCGGGTCCAGTCCTCGGCCCATACCTCCCTGCCCCAAAAAGCAGAATTTCCACCACTGTGGCAACCAGGTAGGTGGCTTTGGGGGCAGTCCAAGAACCTCCTGTGCCCTTACAACACATTATACCAATGCTTTCGGTTATTTTAGCTCTTCTCCTTCCTGCCTCACTGGACACCTGATTAACTCCTTCAGGCTTCACTCCTCTGGCACATTTCCCACCCTGGAAGAACAGGGACAAGCTCCTTCTCTCTGCTCCCTCTCCTCTGTCTGCCCTGCTCCCCTGCCATCCAGTGTGCCTGATCCCGGGTCCAGGTGAGGCTCACCAGGGACTTGGCCTTGGGATGCCTGGGCAGGGAAGTACTCACCAGGCACACACTGCAGACCTTCCTGCCTGTCCCGCCTTTCCTCCCAGGTCCCCTGGACCGTGCAGCTGAGCACCCCTAGGACCAAAGGAGGGGAGGCAGAGAAGAGGCTCAGACTCTGGGCCAGAGGGTAGCTGGAAAGCGCTGTCCTGCAGGGGACTCACCAGTGGACACCCTCTGGTAGTAGGGCTCCCGGCAGCAGCTCCGGATCTCAGCGGGGATGGCTCCAGAGCCCCCACCAGCCTGGCCAAGGGGCTCACAGCTCAGAGCTGCAGGAACATAGTCATTAGAGCTTCCGGCAGACTTGCAGAGTGGCAGGCTCTGTTAGTTAGACCTGCATAGTGATTTAAAACAACATAACGCAACCCAACACAACAAGTTTTCACCGTTCAGGCTGTCAACTCTCAGAGTCCGAAAATAACTGTGATTAGAAGAGTATGGAGAAACAGGTACTTGGTTCGTGGGAGTGTAAGTCAGTGAAAACATTTTGGAGAGAAAGTCAGCAATAATCACAGAGAAAAAGGCAAAGATTTTTAAACCTAGAATTTCAGTTTCTATGAATATTCTCACACATATGTGCAAAGACATGCACCGTGGTCTTGTGTATGGCAGCAAAGTATCTGTCAGTGGGGAATCAGCTAAATATGAGGGGCGGTCAACATGCACTGTGAGTATTTGAAATATAAAAATTTATTACAGTTAAAGACACGGTGCCCCTAATTTCCCCCAATGCCCCCAGCACCATCTTTCCCTCCCTGCCAGTATCATTTTGCTGCAGCCTCTGCCCACCCTGCATGGCCCAGGGCTTTGTGCAGGCCTGGCAGGGGCTCTGCCACTGAGCTACCTCCTCAGCCCTTTTTGGACCTCTCTAGATCTGCAGATGCTGGGCCTGTAAATCATCCTGGAGCGAAGAAGAATTGAGGAGCCATGGCTGTCCCTGAAAGGGGCCATTGGCCAGCAGAGTCGGGCTGGGGTCAGCCCAGGGCTTCCTTGAGCCCCGACTGAGCTCGAGCTTCCTTCTCTGGCTTCAAGATGGCAGGCGTCCTGGCTGGGGACGGATGCTGCCTCCCCACTCCCAGGAGGGACACTCACCCACAGCTTGGTACACAGCCAGGAAGCCCCTATGGAGGGGGGTGGGCTGGCCCTGGGAGGGAGCGCGAGCCCGGAGGGTCAGCTGCAGGCTCCTCCCGGAGGACACGAACTCTCTCTGACCAGGACCAGGAGGGCTGCCCAGAGGGGGGCCCTGCTGACCACAGAGCCGGCGTGGCACCCCGCTGCCTGTGATCTGGAGGGTGGGGAGCAGAGGGCACAGGGAGCTGTGAGGTGAGCCTGCAGGGCTGCCTGTGTGGAAGCTCTGCACCCCAGGGGCACAAGGGCCACCTCTGCGGGGTCTTCCTCGAGTAGCTTTCTGCCCTCACACTGATGCCCAGGTTCCCTCCAGACGACCATGTGAAGGGCACCATCTTTCCCTTATTTCAAGAGGCCCTTTGGAACCCCAGGGGTCTGGCGGTAGTCTCGGGGTTGTAAGGCCTAAGGAGGCAGAGCCTACATTTGCTCTCTGGCGTCACCCAGTCCCCGATGTGCACCGCCATGCCTCCAGCACCACAGCTGCCAGTCAAAGCACGTGCAGACCCAGTCCCTGCCTCCGGCTTCTCCACCTTCCCTGCTGCCTCCTCCTGACACCTTCCACTTGGCTGTGTAAGTTCTGTGTCCAGCATCTGTGAAGCAATAAGGCCATCTGCAAAGACTGAGACCCCGCAATAGCTGAATTATAGGTCCAGGAAGAGAAAATAAAGCAAGCAGGCATAACTGTTAAATACTGCAAGCCATCTGCAGAACTGAAGGATAGAGTGAATTACTAAATTGCCCAGGGGTGGCTTGAATTTGTGATCCTCCTGCCTCGGCCTCCCAGAGTGCTGGGATTATTGGTGTACCACCATGCCCAGCCCGTGAGAAGTTTTATAGTACCTCCTTCAAGATAAACTCAGTCTTAACTTAGGACTCAATCTGTGCCCATCTTCTTAACTGGACAAAGTAGGCACTCAACAAAACCTGACATGTACACCCTGACCGTCTTTGCTCTACAGAGCTGCAGTGCTTGTGTGTCCTGTTGCAGGCCTGTCCTGAGCCCTGTGCCTCACTCTGTGGGTCTGGATGGCATGGGGCTGGCAGAGATGCTGGCGGGAGGCCTTGGAGTGGGCAGACTGGGCTCTTTATCCCTCCTCTAGGGGGCGACTCAGGACCTCCCAGGCCCCTGCAGGACCCGGCTCACCATGACAGAATCCCCTCTGCAGTCCTGGGACGGCTCCAGGTCCAAGTCCTGGAAGACCAGCCTCACCGCAAAGTCCCCCAGAGCCACGATGTGGGTGCTGCTCTCCTGGCCTCTGGGATAGGGCTCCGGGTACCCAGGGGACATCAGCGGCTGGGGTAGCCGCCGGGCCAGCAGCACGGAGCCTTGCATGGGGCAAGCCTGGAGGAGTCCCCAGAGCAGCAGCCAGGACCTGGAGCAGGGGACAAGGCAGCTCATGCAGCTGTGGCCCGAGGGCTGCAGACGGATGAGGGGCGGCTGCAGTGGTGGAAAGGGTTGAGAGGCCTGGCACAGGCAGGGGTCTGGGGGCTTCCTGTCCACGACCTCACGTCCTGTTCTCCTCAGTCCCTTGGGCTCCTGCTGGCTTGGGCCCCAGGACTGAGTGTCCCACCTTCCGAGGACACCCACTGCGCCTCTCCGCAGAGGGTCTTGCCCAGATGAGAGGGCGGCCTCCTGCCTCAGCCAACCCGACACCACCCTGGCATCCCAGGGAACAGGGAAGCTTGAAGGGAGGCGTGTTGGAATGTTTCCTCCCCAGACCAGGCAGAAGGCTGCTGTAGGCCACAGGGGAATTTCAGAACCTTCTGGAATACCTGCTGTGTGCATGTGTGTACACAGATAGACACCGCGTCCTGCCCTCTCCTGTCCCCGCCCCCCGCTCGTCTCCGGGCTTCTCCTGGGCACACTCACACTCACAGAGAGGAAGGCTTTCTCCAGAGATAGTTCCCCCACTCTGGGACCAGCCATCTGGAACCCGACATGACATCTGGAACCCGTAGAGGACTTGGCCCAGGAGGGGAACAGGAGGTGGGGCTGGGGAAGGCCCGGTGGGAGGAGAGGTTACTGGAAACCAGTTGAGCAACTCTTCCGGAGTTCCCCTTTCCTAACTCTCCGGGTTGAGCGCCATCTGCTGCCCATCATAGGAATAACTCACCGACTGCCGCTTGGAGGAAGCACGCGTTACCTCCCAAACCTTGAAGGCCCCTCCTACTCGACTCTTCCGTACTGTTTAAAACGGATTAAAAAACAAAGAAACAAATCTGATGTTTTTCTGTGTGCCTGTTTTTTACTGGTACGGTGGTTCCTTGTGAGTGGGTGCCTTCCCTGTCCTTCCCGCTCATTTACGTACCCAGCCAGTCCCCTAGAACCTGAAGTGAGACCTATGAACTTGAGCCTCCCCTTCTGCTCCAGCCTCATCAAGGGCAGCGGGGAGTGTTGCGAACCCCCTGCAACCTCTGGAGGCTCCTTGTGCTGCAGGCTCAAGCTCACGGTCCGGCCCAGGGCCTGGTTGTGGGGAATGTGACGCTTCGAAGGTGAGGGCCCACCAGGTGAGACTGCAGTGTGTGATGGGGAAAGGGGCGGGAGCCGCCAGGAACGCAGGACGGCAGCTGGGCCGCTGCCCTGTTCTCAGGCTGGCTCCATCGGCCCTGTCTCCAGCTACGCAACACAGGAAGTGGCCGTTGCTCTTTGGTTTGTAGCCTGGGCAGGAGAAGCTGCAGGCACAGATGCGGGCCCCGGCCATCGAGGGCTGGTGTGTGGGCCCGGCACAACTGTCCACTCGGGGAGTGGGAGGAAGGGAGATGAGAGGCTACCGAGGAGGGCGCTGGAGCCGCGGGCAGGGCCGAGCCAGCTCCCCTTCCTGGATTCCTCAGCACCCGGCTGCTGCTCACCCCCATCTGTCTGGGGCCACAAGTAGGAGCCGGGGGGGAGGGGCTGTGAGGCTGCAGCTCTGGGCCTCCGAGCTGCCTCTGAGCAGTATGACCTGCAGGTGAGGTTCCTCTCGCCATGCGAGGCTGGAGGCCAGGTGACAGTACCGAGTCTCTGTGTTCATTCTCCTGCACAGTGTAGATGTGAGAGACTCCACGAAGCCTGGCTAAGACCAGAAGAGTCTGCACTTAATGTTCAGCCCTCTCCTTTCTAAAAGAAGTTTGCAGTTAAGCTAAGCCAAGTTAACTGCCTACTTGAAAAAAATCGTTCTTTGGAAGAACATCATAGAACCTGTGGTTTTCATAGAGTATCAGTCATTATGCTGTAGTTTGAATGTGGTCCCCAAGAGTTTCTGTGTTGGATGCTTAGTCCCCAAATTCATGTGTGAGTGGCACTTGGGGACCAGATCTTCAGGAGCAGATTAAGTGAGATGAGGGGGTGAAGGTGGCCCCAGGAGGAAGTGACCTTGCTTCCTTTCGTGATGTGATCCCTCAGCTGTGTGTGGTGCAGTGAGAAAGCCCCCACCAGAGGCTCCCCAACCTCCAGAGTGTGCGGGTTTTTTCTTTATAAATTATCCAGTCTCAGGTATTTTGTTATAACAACAGAAAATAAACCAGGACATAGCATGTCCAAGATATGATACAAATTACTCAAAACACAGAGGAAAGACAGACCATGTTCATGAGAAAAGACAACAGAAACCATCCTCCAAAATGACCTTGATGTTAGTCAGTACAACAGGATCTTAATATATAAAAAAACAAAGAAACTGGATGTGGTCACATACGCTTGTAATCCCAGCACTCAGGAGGCCGAGGCAGGAGGATCGATAGGACTTCAAGACCAGTCTAAAGCCTACATGTTAAGACCCTGTCTCAAACAACAACAACAAGAAAGAACAATATGGCCATAATAATAAGAAAAAAAGAGTAAGGAATATAGAGAGAAACAGAAACTTTAATAATCTAATTTCAATCACAAACTAATGAAGGTAGCATATGATAAAATAATTCACTGGAGGGGCTTAAGTGAAAAATGGAAATGGCTGAAAGAAGAGTCAGTGAATTTGAAGATAGGTAAATAGCAAAGATCGTACCTGAAGAATAGAGGAAAACATTTTTATTTTTATTTTTCAGACTTTTTTGGCTTGAATTTCCAATCTTCCTGCTTCAGCCTCCTGAGCACTGGGATTAAAGGCAGGCATCACCATGCCTGGCTGAAGGAAATATTGAAAAAAAAAAAAGAGCAGAACTCAAGGCCTGTGGGACAATGCAAAAACTGGAACATATATGTTCTTGGTATGTTAGAAGAAGAGGTGGAGAGAGAGAATGGAGAAATACTGGAGGGCTGGGGATTTAGCTCTGTGGTGCTGCTGCCTGCCTCACAAGTGCAAGGGCCCGAGTTCGATCCCTGGTACAAAAAACAAAACTCTATTCAAGAGGGCTGGGGATTTAGCTCAGTGGTTCTGGTGCCTGCTTTACAAGTACAAGGACCTGAGTTTAATCCCCGGTATAAACAACAACAACAATAAACAATGCTCTATCCAAGATATGTATCCAAGACATGGTTAGGAACTTCTAACTTTGATGAGATATATAGTTTCAGATTGAAGGACCTCAGTAAACCTAAAGCAGAATTAAAGATAAAAAATAAAAAGCATAGATTATCACATCATGGGCAAATTGCTAAAAACTAAAGAAAAAAAGAAGATCTTGAGAACAGCTGGAGAAAAAGAAGACTGCATATAGAGAATTTTTTTTTTTTTACCAGGGATTGAACTCAGGACCTTGCACTTGTAAGGTAGGCATGGTGCCACTGTGCTAAATCCCTGGCCCCAGGAGAACATTTTGAACTTCAAAAACAACATAGCCCAGAAGGCAGCAGAACGTTTTTAAAATGTGGAAAGAAATCGTCTGCTCTGATTTGCTTTTCCAGTGAAAAATTCTTCCAGAATGAAGATGAAAGAAGAAAGAATTCAGAAACTTTGTCAACAGCTCTTCAGAACTGCTCAAGAAAGTTCTTCAGGCTGAAGGACTGTGAGAGTAGGCAGAAGAAAGGAAGCTGGAATAAAGAGAAAAGGTACATTTAGAGATAAATGCAAAATACATTTTTCTTCTTAATGTTAGCATACATATAACCGGGCCGGGGATTTAGCTCAGTGGTTCCACCGCCTGCCTCGAAAGCACAAGGTCCCAAGTTTGATCCCTGGTACCAACCAACCAGCAACCAACAGCAATAGCAAAAAAACCCAAAACAAAACTATATGCCCATTTAGGCCAAAATTACAACACACTGAGGGGTTTGGAACACCCGTGTGTGGACCTTATGTGAGAACTGGAGTGCAAGGCTGGGTAGGAGCCACTGCTCCAGAAGTAGTCAGTGTGGACTCCGGGAAGCTCAGGTACTTGAGATGTTTGGGGAGGGGCTCTCTGCTGAGCAGTGGCTCCAGGACATCCTGGGGGTCCCGAAGACCCTTTCGGGGGGCCTAGGAGGGCAAAATGATTTTCACAAAAATGCTAAGCTGTTTTCTTTTCCCTCTCTTTCTTGAGTTTACAGTGGAGCAAAGCCGAGGCCGTGAGGACTCCTCCCCTGCTAAGGGCTGGAATGTCTGTTGTGTGTCTTTGTGTGTTACAATGTGTCTTTGTGTGTTACAGTGACTAGTAATAGACATAACTCATATAAGCAAAAGCTCCCTAGGAGCCCCGTCCCTTTGGATGGTATAAAGTTTGAAACCTGCTGCCCTAGGCAAACCCCAGGTACAGGAGGCAAAGGGGTCCTTCGGCAGTTACCTCCAAGGCCGTGTAAGTTACTGTGGACTTCTGAAGTCTGAGCTGGTTCGATTTGGGGGAGCTTGTCGCAAATAGGCCGATCTGTTAGAGATCACCCAGGTTTGTCTGGGCTGATGGGTTTCCTGGGACGAGGACCTCTCCACACTAAAACTGGTTTAGTCCCAGCACACCCGGGCAGCCGGTCCCCTTTTTCGAATGTATCAATCATCGGCCCCCTTTCCCATATCCAGATGTGAGTGGCAAAGTTGAATCTGGTCTCTGCTGAGGCCCCCAGATACAGACACGAGGACTGAGATGCCCGGCATGCTAAGTAAAGCAAGCAAGCTACAAAATTATTAATTAGACTGTTCAGGGATATAGAACACATTCACAAGAAAAAATTCAGACTAACCTTTGTGGTAGACTCTGCTCTCCTTTCTACCTCTGTCCTGTCCCACCAGGCACCTGGGTTCCCGCCATGCCGATGATCTCGCAGTGTCCCAGACAGGCCTTGCATTTGCACTGGTGGCTTTCTGGGTTCTTCAGAGACCGGAGACCAAAGCAGCACGGTGGTGAAATGCGTAGGCTCTGTCACTTTACCCGGTTCTAAACCAGGCGCTACCACTTAGGAGCTTTGTGACTTCCACCACCTTGAATGACTTCCGGTGGCCACTGAGCCCCCCCCCCCAAGGGCAATGGAATCCACATGGCAGGGTTGTGGTTAGGATTATGAGTTACAGCTGAACGTGCCTAGGAGAGTGCCTGGCCTTTGGCAAACAGTAAATCTCATTACTTGCTAAGGAAAGCAAAAGAATGAAATGGTTGGGTCAGTGGTTCTCAACCAGGCGCGATTTTGTTCCTCAAAGGTGTTTGACACTATCTACAGTTTTGCTTTTGTTTCTTACAAGTGAGGGTTGCTACTGCCATCTAGTGGACAGAGGCTACAAGTCACAGGCCAGTACTTCCCACAACGCGGCAATGCTGTGTCTGGCCCAATGTAGAGAAGCCCCAGCCTAAGGATCAGCTCCAATCTGTTGGTGTACATATCCCACATTTCTCCTTTATTTGACATATCATTTTCTTCAGCTATGGAAATTCTGGCTGTGGAACCTCTTTGGTTCTTTTCCTCTGAAAGAGACAGTAACAAGAGACCAGGTCCTTGAGAGGAATAGATGCCTGGATGTGATGATCATGCCATGGATGTCACCACTGTGATTGTTTCTCACCTGTCTCCTCCTCTGGGAAGTCCTCCCTGACTTGGAGTCCGATTACGTCCTCAGGTTGCAAGCAGGTGGTAGACAGGTGCGTGCAGGAGCTTGGGTTTGCACCCAAGGCAGATGGTCTGAGGGCTGCCCTGCTCCATTTGCTGTTCTCTATGGGAATTTTCCACCACCAAGTAACCTTGCTCCTCGCTACAGGGCACCATGGCTTGTGTTTGAAAGAGCAGCCCCGCGAATGGATTCCACCTGGAGACAGCCCTCTGGTCCTCACCGGGGGGGAGTCATTTTGTGCCAAGGCTCTGACAGGTGGCAGAGCCGGGCCCTCGGGTGCTCTGCCCCTCCCAGTGACAGTGGCTGTTCCCACATGGCAGGCTTGGGGGCTACCCCTTGTCTCTGTCAGGGACAGCACCACGGAACAGGGCTGTGACCACACTATCCCTGGCAGGTCAGTCAGCCTGTGGCCCACATAACAAATAGCTGAGATCATCAAGTTATAGAAGAAAAAGCTTGATTTTGGCTCAGGGTTTCAGAAGTCTCAGTCCTGGCCGGCCCCGCTGCTATGGGGAGGCACCGCATCATGGTAGGTATGTGGTGGAGCAAAGCCATCTACCTCATGGCCAGGGAGCAAATGAGAGAGAGTGAGGAAGAGGCTGCGGTCCTGCTGTCTCCTTCAGAAGCCCCTCATGACCTGACTTCCTC